TAAAATTTTGGGAATTTTTTTTCACGAACATTAATTGTTTGTCACAACGAGTCTGTGTGGAAAATGTCAGCTCGATTGGATCACGGGAAGTGGGTTAAAAAACGACCGAAAGATTTGCACGGACGTAAGCAAGCAAGCAAGCGAACTTAATATAAAGGATTTAAAAATAGGTTTTCTGTATCGACACAAGCACTGCGTCCCCCCTATGTTCCGCTTGGAATTGATAAAAGCTACCATACTGCCTCTACTTGATTACTGTGACATCGTATATAAATCAGCCCCCAGTACTTTACTGAAGAAGCGTGACTTAATTTATCATTCGTGTTGTATATATAGGTCTTTATCCAAAAAATAATATTAAGAATAGTTCTGCCAATTTTTTTTAATAATTGATCGGGGCGAGCATGGGACATGAAAGGGTGAGGCACACCCCGCTCCCACACAGCAGCTGCCCTTCACACCGACCAGGCAGCCAGAGATAAGCCATAAAAGGTAATTTAAAAAAAGAGAGGGGGGGGGAGATTGCTAATGAGATTCTGGAGAAATGTCTACACGGCTTCAAAGACCGCCACAAAGCACGTACAAAAAAAACAGGCGTCGCCAGCTTCCCGGGCGGCGAAAACCGAACAGACAAGTTTTTTTTGTAAGTTATTTTAGTTAACGAAGTCCAAAAATTAGCGACCAGAATAAGTGGGCATCATAGACTGTCAACACATTCACCCAGGCTGCAGTCACATTGGTGGCCTCGAGTTATGAATTACCTTATTTTACACATTCACCTCACATTGTTTCTTGTTGTATCTTGCTATATACGTGACTTTACCAAAAAAAACAAGGAATATGAATTCCAGCAGTCAAGAAAGCTTAAGTAAAAACTTAGTTAGATCTCTAACCTCAGGACATCAAAATAGGACTCGATTAAAACAGCACAAATCCCTGGATACAGACAGACAACAAAGGAAGGTTAATAAAACCCTAGGAAATACGTGGTAATAACAAAGCTAAATAAAAAATCTAAGATAAACATAAACCAAATAATAATAATGAAGTATCAGACCAAGGGTCATCAAGAAGAATAAAAAAGGCTAAATCGGTCAATCACGCGTGACCAAGATAAAATGTATTTAATAGAGAAAGCCTCCCAGCCGCCTTTGTCTTCTAGAAGCATGTGGAAGCAATAAAATCAATAAGGGAGAGGGGAGAGGGAAGAGCAGAGAATGCAACCGGACAGGGGGAATCTCCCCCCTCCTTCCAGATGAATTATTGCAGAGGGTTGGAGGACTGGAAGGACGCACTTGGGGGCAATCTGGAGCAGCTGTTTCCATTGATGGCGGGATGGCTTGAGGAAGACGACAGGAACCAGGCCTTGATGAAACTTATATTACTTCAATAAAATTAGAACACACACAGGCCGGACAAACAGCTGTTCCCACAGGCTGAGAGCGAAATCAAAGGAAGTTTTGTGAGAAGGTGAGCTGAGGGGAGAAAATTTCACGTAAAAACAGAGACACGACACACACAATATAGTGCTGCGATCAGCAGGCTCCGGAAACCTGCCCCCGTGACTGGCACACCGTCAACGAGCTGCATCAGCAGAAGCCACGAGACTACTGCAAGGGACAGAAGACTACACAATACAGAAGAGTTCTGCAAGCGGCAAGCTCAGGGGTAGGTTCTGCAATCAACCAAGGATGGCGAGGCTTGCCGAGTAGCGACGGGTCACGGAGTCAGAGTTCAGCGCTGACAGAAGAAGTGTCGCTCAAAGTTACTCTACACTGAGTGTCAGCTCCCACCCAACAGCTGCACGATCAAGGAGAGCAACGACAAGCAATCAACCTCGAGAAAGGACGGAAAGCGCCAAGCATCGTCCAAGCCAGCATCGCTGAGAACCAGCTGCACGCGCAATCGTGCACCGCCAGACAGCACGGAGCAGGAGAGAGAGCACGCAGCAGCGCCACAGAGTGCCACCGAGCAAGGGTGTCAGCTGCCAGCGGACAAGCGACAAGCGTTGTGCCGACTCCGCTCATCCAGCAAGGGAAAGAGCATGACCAGCCGCCCGTGAGGAGGAGAGCGACGTGGGTTCCACCCACACACACCGACCAGCACCAGCTGGGAACCAAGACAAAAGTGAGGAACGGCAAGCAGGGAACGAGCTGCGGGCGCCATCTGACGGAATCATCGCGCACCACCGACGACGAGCATTGTGCAGACTCCCTTCATCCAGCAGTGGACAAAAACTGCTGCTGCCTCAAGAGAGAGAGCGAGGAAGCTGTTCGTATGACACGCCCACACTACAACACATCGCCCGGCGTCTGCTTGACGCTAAGAATTGATCAAGGAATTAAAACCACCACACACATAAAACACATACCCCGACTAAATTAAGAAGACTAATGATAAGAGTGCGTCAACTATTAGCTGATAACGAAGAAAATTGCTGCCCATTGAGTTACGTAGATACGGTCGTTAAGAATTATATTAGTCGTTATTTTTCTTTTTAATTGCATAAATATTACCAATGAATTCATTGATGTAAACTAAACGTTTGAAATCTACGTTATGAACCTACACGCTCACAGGGAGACTATTGTGTTAAAATCTTTCTTTTGATCACAGAATCTTGCCAGCGAATTAATTAAAGCATTAGCCAATTGATAAGCATCTGCTGAAGCAGGCACACTGCCGCACACCATTGTTCCAAGAGGTTTCGTTAAATGCATAATCTGACCGATGAATTCATTGACGTATACTTTTGCCTTTGGGATATGTTTCTTTATTTCCGTTCGTATGAATATCGTCGCATGCATGTTTAAGGACTTTTTCCTATCGCCGTATATGCTCGTGTTACTCTGAGGAATTAAGCAATTGTTCTGTTACCCAGTTTAACAACGTAATCATTGAGGGTTAATTGTACGGATCAATGAAGAGAACATCTCCAGGAGTACTGTGTTGACAATTCCAAGCATAAGAGTTCGCATATTAGAGTGTTATGTTTTTGTTTAGGAGATTAAAGTTGCTTAACACAGAAGTGTATGAGTGGTGCCTTCCTAAGTTCATGCATAATAATCTTAATTATAAGAACTGTATCCTGCGGTGAGATTTGAATTTGGAGACCTGACATACACACTAAGACATAATCAGTAAATATTAAAGCAAGAATAATTGCATTATTCCGATTGATAATACAACCCTAGACAACGAAGCCAAGCTTAATTCAGCATAATTACATCACACTTGCATAACTTCATACAATTCATTGTATTATCCAGATTGATAACACGACCCTAGACAATGAAGCTAAGCCTAATTATAATAACTGCATACATTAGCATAATTACATACGTTAGCATGATTTCAGATATTTATTTATTTTTTCATTTCCATTAAATTGTTATTTGTATAAATGTTTCAAGACCCGGCATATACAATACTTAGCCTTAAGATTTGCATTGAACTGCCCATATCGGATGCACCTCTGCGATCTTACATTGGGTCAAACGTAACTTCTCTTCATGATCGACGGCTTGTACATCAAATCTTATTTATTCACGATGTACTTACAAAAAATCAGCAGACTACCTGCTGGATCTCCTTACTGTTTCGAAGAACAAATGTGACCCAAGGTCTTTGCTCATTTACCAGCTTCACATTCCTTATTGCCGTACAAATACTGGTGGAAGGGCCTTTTCTATTGATGCCCCCAGGGTCTGGAATGCTATCGCCAATAAACTGCAACTTGGATCACTATCTTTGAGGTCTCCACTCAACTGCTCTAGAGGAGTTGTACACCGAGCTACCACTGCTATTCAGTGGCCTGAAATCAAATGTATTGCTCCGGATGATCACTGCAAAGTATGATCTTGAGTTTTGTTTATAGTGTACTGATCTTTAAAAGGTGCATTGAAAATTTTTGATGCTCCTACTGCTACTCATTCTGTTATGGAGCAACTCATGCTGCCAGCTATGGCTGCAAAGTTTGGTCGTACATGTTATGTATATCGTTTATTGTTAAATTTGAATCACAGTTCTTATGATCACTGTTACGTTATTTTTATAGCCTTGTTTTGGTGATTTCGAAAACGTTTTGAATTAGCCATATTTGTTTGTTGTTGTACAGAGTAGGACTGATAACTTTAATCTAAATTGTCTTATGGTTGTTATTGTTTGACTTGCATCCCACTGGGATTTTTGCACACAGCATTGATATACGGTGCTTTTTCTGGAAGACTTTGCTGTTTTTACCTGGATTTTTCTGTTGCGCGTAGTCACTTTAAGATGTTTCTTGCTCATGTTTTTGTTTGTTGCGGTTGCACCCGAGTCAAGAGTCGAATGGCGCACAGGGCTATACCTAATAAATGATCTGAATTGAACTGATATGAACACAATAACAACAGTAGGAGCCACTCGCATGATAGGAATGGGCCGCACGGTCCACTCCAGCTCGATGTACAGCTTGCCTGGGTACAGACGTTAACTACCTCGTCTGGTATACAGGAGGTTGTCGGTAAGATTCCAACCCTGACACCTGTATATTTGGAGTTTGCATGTTCTCTCCATGGTCAAGTGTATTTTTCTTCTGGTCCCCTGGATTTTCCCTATACATTTAAAAACAGGCATTTAGAGTAGTTTGCTGCTATACATTTCCTCATAAGGCACGTTGTTGACCTATAATTTGTGGCCAGGTCACTTCTAAAAAAAGAGCCTGTGTGTGAGTGGTTGAGTGAGTGAGTGGTTGAATTAATGATTGAGTGACTGATTGGTTGAGTGAGTGAGTGAGTGAATGGTTGAGTGAGTGAGTGGCTGAATGAGTGGTTGAGTGAGGAAGTGGTTGATGGAGCGATTGGTTCAGTGAGCGAGCGATTGGTTCAATGAGCGAGCGAGTGGTTAAGCGAGTGGTTGAGCGAGTGGTTGAGTCAGTGAGTAGCTGAGCAAATGGTTTAAGTTAGTGGTTGAGTGAGTGAGTGAGTGGCTGAATTAGTGAGCGAGTGGCTGGCGTGCACCTTGGCTGCGTTGTCCAGGGAGTCCCGCTGGTGCCGCCCCACTGTGTTCCCGCGCTCAGTCAGGGTGAGAGCATCTCACCAAGCCCCTCCTGGCGGGCACGCAGCACGCCCTGGAGCTCCGTCACATGGCGCTGGCAATCCGAGACACCCACCTGTAGCACACACGCTGAAGAAGAGACACGGGGATGGATACGGAAACCCAGGTGGCGAGATGTTAACCACCTCACCCAGTATACAGGAGGTTGTGGGTTCACTCCTGACTCTGATGCCTGCATATTAGGAGTTTGTATGTCTCGCTCTCTCCTCTTAGTCGTGTGCATTTTTTTCGGATCCTTCGGTTTTTCCCTCCATATTTAGAAATATGCATTGCGAGTATTTGGCTGCTTTACATTTCCACATGATAAGAGACTTCATTGGGCTATCATTTGTGGCCAGGTCACTTCTGAAAACGAGCTATAGAGCTCCGTGGGCCTTACGTGGTCAAATTAAAAAAGGCGAGTGAGTAGGTAAGTGGATAGGCAAGGGGGTAGATTAGTCAGTGGGTAGGTGAGTGAGTGGGTAGGTGAATGGGTAGGTCAGCGAGTGGGTAGGTTAATGGAAAGGTCAGCGAGTGGGTAGGTGAGCGAGTGGGTAGGTCGTTGAGTGAGTTAGTGGTTGTGCTAATAATTGAGTGAGTGATTAGTTGAGTTAATGGCTGAGTGCGTAAATGGTTGAGTGAGTGAGTGGTTGAGTCAATAATTGAGTGGTTGAGCGAGTGGCTGAGTAAGTGAGTGGTTGAGTGAGTAGCACAGTGAGTGTGCTGCTGAGTGGTTGAGTGAGTGAGTAATTGAGTGGGTGTGGCTGAATGAGTGGCTGAGTGAAAGAGTGAGCGAGAGAGTAATTGGTTGAGTGGTTGAGTAATTAATTAAGTGAGTGAGTGGTTGAGTGAGTGAGTGGTTAAGTGAGTGGTTGAGCGAGTCGTTGAGCGAGTGGTTGGGTGAGGGGTTGGGTGAGGGGTTGAGTGCTTGAATGAGTGGTTGACTGAGTGAATGGATGAGTGAGCAAGTAAGTAGCTGAGTGAGTGGCTTCAGATAAGAATCTGTGTGGGTGGCCTTCCTGCAGACAGAATGTCCCAAAGAGCCATAAAGAAGGTACCCCACTACGGCCCATCGTGTCCACGATCAACTCGCCTACCTACAAACTAGCCCGTTTTCTATCAGATACTCTGCTTCCCAGTCTTTTACTCCCAGCTTTATACACCACCATCACTAAGAAATGTTGATGTACAACAGTGATTCAATAGCGCAAAAATTGTCCCCCCCATGCCAATCTCCCCCCCCCCCATCCGTTGTATGGGCACTCTACTCACCCTCCCCCAGTGTAGTGTATGGCATATTGTATAATAATAAATAGTATTAAAGTGTAATGTTTAATGCAGTGTATAAGGTAATAAATAGTATCGTAATTGTATATTAAATATACAGCAGTGTGATATACAGTTGGGTGGGTAGAATAATACATAGTGTAATATTACACTATGTATTATTCTAAGACATAGGGTAGTGTATAGTAATACAGTATACAATTTAATGTTGGGTTTGGCTATGGCAACATATAGTACGAGATAGACCCGTGTGATGTAAGGAAAAAGTTTAAAAAGTTTAGCTGGAAGCATATTATACTTTTTGCGACCTAGAATTGTAATGTATTACTTACGGTTAGTAGCTCAGCTTATTAAGAGTATATTTAGCATACTGATGATACTATGTAGTTTATACTTTAGCTTTTTACGTGGTTGTTTAGTTACTGCAGCTACATACTATTAACATTCCTTCCCTTTGTTAATGCTACTCCTCCCTTTGATGCTGCTGGTCCTGCATAATGCATGGGCATAATATGACTTTGAAAACCCCCCGCCCACCTCCTGCGCATTTCACAAGTAGCACTGGTCGCATTCTTGCATTTTTCATAAATATGCTAAATTCCTCTTGATATGCAGATTCTTTTGTCAAGGCGCATTTTTTCCCCCCTTCCGACCCAGCTTAAATAGACGCTCCAAGCACGTGGTGGTGTTTCATTTAGACGCTGTCGCCTCGACAGACCTGGTCTTCACCTGAGGACGGCTGCTTGTGTTGTGGCCGAAACGTCGTGAGAATTATTTTATTATGTTGAATTTGTATTATTTTATTACTTCCCTTCTACGTGACTTTACCGAAAGAACCAAGAAGATGAATCCCTGGTGAGGGGCAGCTTGAGGACACCATCTCCATAGAGGCCTATGGTGGTAAGGCATCGTGGAACTCCGAGCCACTTCTTTAAGTAGCTCGTGGCTCCTCTTTCCATCTTCTCCACTGTTGAGATTGGAACCTCATACACTGCTAGGGGCCACAACACCCAGGGTAGGAGACCAAACTGCAGACACCAGGCCTTTAACTTTCCAGGTAGCTGGGTGTTGTCGATGGACTGTAGGCTACTACTGATGTCTTTGCGCAGCTGTTGCACCTGGTCTTTGTCCTTCAGGCTTGCATCATACCACCTTCCAAGGCTTTTTACCGGCTGCTCAGACACTGTTGGGATTTGGTCATCTCCGATGAAGAATTTCAGGTCACAGAGTACTCCCTTCACAATCGAGATGCTGCGTGACTTGGATGGTTTAATCTTCATACGGGCCCAGCTGATGTTCTCCTCGAGTTTTCTGAGCAGTCTCCTGGTGCATGGGACAGTGGTGGTCAATGTTGTAATGTCGTCCATGTAGGCTCTGAGTGGAGGGAGGCGAAAACCAGAGTCGACTCGCTGTCCACCAATGCATGGGCATAATATGACTTTGAAAACCCCCCGCCCACCTCCTGCGCATTTCACAAGTAGCACTGGTCGCATTCTTGCATTTTTCATAAATATGCTAAATTCCTCTTGATATGCAGATTCTTTTGTCAAGGCGCATTTTTTCCCCCCTTCCGACCCAGCTTAAATAGACGCTCCAAGCACGTGGTGGTGTTTCATTTAGACGCTGTCGCCTCGACAGACCTGGTCTTCACCTGAGGACGGCTGCTTGTGTTGTGGCCGAAACGTCGTGAGAATTATTTTATTATGTTGAATTTTTATTATTTTATTACTTCCCTTCTATGTGACTTTACCGAAAGAACCAAGAAGATGAATCCCTGCAGTCACGAAAGCTTTAAATCGAAAAGAAAAAGATGTTTATCTATCGGCTTAACTCAGCTAATCCCCTGCATAACCGCCCGCGACGCCACACGGCCTGCCGCATGCTCCCCCCCCCCCCCACGACTCCTTGGCTCCTCCACCCCGAGTACCCTATATAACGTGTCTCTAAATAGCTTGCTCTATACGCTACAGTAATTTTGCTGGAGCAGTTACACCCGATGCCGGAGGCTTGTGTTGCTTCCGAAACGTCGTTATTTAATTTAGTTGTTTTCACCTACGTGACTTTACCGAAAAAAACCAAAGAGTATAAATTAAGTTTAATATAAAATTGTATATTCAAAGGATCGAGTTAAAGGTGACATAACACATCGGAGTAAACTGAATTGCGGCCAAGATGAATTTTTGCATTAGCATAACATTGATTTATAATTATACAAAATGACTTTTTGCAGAGCGATTTAATAAAAAAAAGTCTGATAGACTACGTAAATTTTTAGATAAAAATACATACGAATCGGGCATCAATACCGTTGCTTTGTATGATCTGTGAAACGCAGAATATTTCAGATATCGGTCATTTTGAGCTTGCTGTTGGATCGACTGAGTGGAATCAATACAATTAGTCTCCATTCACGATAAACAGAGACCATACAGTATATGGGAAAATCTCTGATCAGTGATTTTGATTGCATCGTATTGCGGAGCCCCTTTGATTATTTTATAAAGCACTTACCCCAACAGTCTGTTAAAGGCTACATGGGGGATCTTTGTGTGCGAGCAGCTCACAGATCCTGGAGAGATCTGGAAACTATCCGATCACCAGCGAGCTCCTCCGGCAGGCGAGGCTGCGTTGGCTGTTGTCTGTGCATTAAGAGGTGTTAAATATCCCATGCAGAGGAGTCTGCTTACAGGACAGATAAGAGGTTCTTCATGGACTGTGCCCCGTGTCACCTGAATGTTAAATGGGGCCCCGGTAATTCGTGTCCACCGCTGAATCATCTTTCACCATCACCACGCGGTCCATTAAGGCCAATGCGACGAGGCCAAAAATAGACGCCGCGTTATAACGGGGGGGGGTGGGGGTGGGGAGTAGGAGAAACGTCGTACTATGTGACATCACAACACCCTGCACACAACCGTAGTGGCTGATTAGGGTGCGCATCGTTCACCAATATGTGGTTTAAGTGGTTGAGAGTAGATTTTGGTGTAAATTGTGGCCGAAACGTCGTGAGAATTGTATTTTATTATGTTCTATTTTTATTATTTTATTATTTCCATTCTACGTGACTTTACCGAAAGAACCAAGAAGATGAATCCCTGCAGTCACGAAAGCTTTAAATCGAAATTTAACCACCACTACGGGGTGGGATTCCACAAAAATTTAAGATCTTTCAACAAGCTCCGGGATAAGAAGGCTCAGCTAATCGAGTCTCTCTTAAATATACGCTGCCAAGCCTGGTGGTGTTCATTCAGACGCTGTCTTTCTGACAGACCTGTTCTTCACCTGAGGACGGCTGCTTGCGTTGTGGCCGAAACGTCGTGAGAAATATTTTATTATGTTTTATTTTTATTATTTTATTATTTCCATTCTACGTGATTTTACCGAAAGAACCAAGAAGATGAATCCCTGCAGTCACGAAAGCTTTAAATCGAAATTTGATCACGATGCTTTGCGTAGCCTGCATTTAAAATTTAATGCGTGGGTGCGTGAGCAGATATCAGTGGGTGAGTGCGTCAGTAAGCCGATAGGTGAGTATGTGGGTGGATGGAGGGGGCTGGGCGGGCACGGCATGGGCTGGAGTGGAGGTGGACTGATGCGGTACGGGAGGATATGGAGCCGAGTGGGCTTTGCCCACGACTGGTACCAGCGGTGTTGGGATCAGCCTCTGCGGGGGAGGCTCGTGTAGGACGCTTCTACTGGGCAGTTGGAGACAGTCGCCCTCCAACAACAACGGAAGAGTGACGCTCACAACAACGAGCGGAACACCGGATGATAAATATGCAACAATTTGGCACAGTACGGGGTACAGGTGGTGCATCTGCCAGCCATCTCAGTCAGCCAACCCATGGCACCTGGGTCTGTTCCAGGACCTCCGGTCAGCGAGCCTTCGACACTTCACGTGGCTTCAAAGTGCACCTGGCCTGGCACAGGCGCCGTGGTGATGTCACTGACTTATTGGCGAATGGTGACGGTTGATATTGCAGCGGTGGTTGTGAGAAATGCCATTTGGGGGGGGGGGGGGGGGGTGCCAACCCTGACCAGCTGTGAACCTCACGTCGCCTCGCAGCCACCACAGTGGCCACAAGGAGTTCTGGATGGGTGCCAGGGCCTGGTAACCCCCCCTCCACCTTCAACTAAATCATCACACATTCACATGCGAGCCCTTGGGTCTCTCTGTGAGTCGATTAATCTCTGTGGTGAGTCTATGGGTCTCTGTGAGAGTCCGTGGGTCTCTGTGAGGGGAGTCTGTGTCTCTGTGAGGTGAGTTTATAGGGCTCTGTGCGAGTCTGTTTGAGTCGGTGGTTCTCTGTGTGATGGGTCGATGCGTTTTGTATGTCTATGGGTATCTCTGTGAGTCTATACGTATCTATGCGAGTGCATGGATCTCTCTGCGAGTCTATGGGTCTGTGGGGTGAGTCTATGCGTCTCCGTGGTGAGTCTATGTGTTTGTGTGGTGAGTCTATAGACCTCTGTGCGAGTCTGTGGGTATGTTTAAGTCTGTGGTTCTGTGTGATGAGTCTATGTGCCTTTGTGTAAGTCTATGGGTCTCTGTGGTGATTATATGGGTCTCTGTGTGGCGAGTCTGTGTCTCCCTGTGGTGAGTCTATGTCTCTGTTTGGTGAGTCTACAGGACTCTGTGGATCTGTTTGAGTCTGTGGTTCTCTGTCTGATGAGTCTATGGGTCTCTGTGGTGAGTCTATGGTTCTCTGTGGTGAGTCTATGGTTCTCTGTGCAAGTCTGAGGGTCTGTGCGTGGTGACTGTATAGGTCTATGTGTGATGACTCTATGGGTCTCTATGTGATGGATATCTGTGGTGTACATATCCTGCCACAAGCGCCGTGGTGTCGTCACCACCACTTAGTGGAGAATGCTCCTCCCCCTGCTCCTGTTTGTTGTGCTCGGGAAGGACAGAGAAAACTCGACAAAAATCTCAACGATTTTCATTTTACCAGGTAAGATCCACCGAGCTAAACATCTCTTTTTCAGAAGCGACTTGGCACCAATGATAGCTCAACGAAGTGGCTCATCATAACGTGTAAATTATAGCAGCCAAATACTTTAAATGAATATTCATATTCTTGGTTCTTTCGGTAAAGTCACATAAATAGAAAACAAAACAAATAATATTAATAAAAATATAATAAATCCAATAAATTGCTTTTATTATTTTCAATTGATCTTATTTTTTATTTTATCAAAAATATATCTATTTTTTTGTTTTCTATAGAAGTGACTTTATCGAAAGAACCAAGAATATGAATTCCTTCAGTCGTCAAAACTTTAAACGAAAGTTTCTTAATGTGGAGGGGAAAACCTGGGGACCCAGAGAAAAATCCACGCGATCACGGAGAGAGACAGAAACACGCAAACTCCAAATATACAGCAGGCATCAGGGTCGGGATCGAACCCACAAACTCCTGTATACCAGGCGAGGTAGTTGGGGGGGAAAGCAGAGACAGCGAAAGGGAGAGGGGGGAGAATTAGTCAAACTCACACTCCGTATTACTCACTAACCATGATACACTCACCATCACACTCACCATCATACACACAAGCCCACACACAAGACCACACACATCAACAGTCGCCATTTACTACTACATGGCGGTCACGTCCCCACAATAACTCAGGTGCCATGGTTTGACGGCTGTGCCAGGCTAAGTGCAGGAGGAGGTCACGGGCCAGACTCAGGTACCATGGGTTGACTGCTCTGCCTGGCTCGGTACAAGAGGAGGGCTAGACCCTGGTGCTATGGGTTGACTCGTGTGCCACCACCTGCAACAACCACCACAGTAACCACACAATTATAATCACAACAGTAACCACGACCACAACTATAACGTAACCACAACTATAACGTAACCACAACTATAACGTAACCACAACTATAACGTAACCACAACTATAACGTAACCACAACTATAACGTAACCACAACTAAAACGTAACCACAAACTAAAACGTAACCACAACTAAAACGTAACCACAACTAAAACGTAACCACAACTAAAACGTAACCACAACTAAAACGTAACCACAACTAAAACGTAACCACAACTAAAACGTAACCACAACTAAAACGTAACCACAACTAAAACGTAACCACAACTAAAACGTAACCACAACTAAAACGTAACCACAACTAAAACGTAACCACAACTAAAACGTAACCACAACTAAAACGTAACCACAACTAAAACGTAACCACAACTAAAACGTAACCACAACTAAAACGTAACCACAACTAAAACGTAACCACAACTAAAACGTAACCACAACTAAAACGTAACCACAACTAAAACGTAACCACAACTAAAACGTAACCACAACTAAAACGTAACCACAACTAAAACGTAACCACAACTAAACGTAACCACAACTAAAACGTAACCACAACTAAAACGTAACCACAACTAAAACGTAACCACAACTAAAACGTAACCACAACTAAAACGTAACCACAACTAAAACGTAACCACAACTAAAACGTAACCACAACTAAAACGTAACCACAACTAAAACGTAACCACAACTAAAACGTAACCACAACTAAAACGTAACCACAACTAAAACGTAACCACAACTAAAACGTAACCACAACTAAAACGTAACCACAACTAAAACGTAACCACAACTAAAACGTAACCACAACTATAACGTAACCACAACTATAACGTAACCACAACTATAACGTAACCACAACTATAACGTAACCACAACTATAACGTAACCACAACTATAACGTAACCACAACTATAACGTAACCACAACTATAATGTAACCACAACTATAATGTAACCACAACTATAGCGTAACCACAACTATAATGTAAGCACAACTATAATGTAACCACAACTATAATGTAAGCACAACTATAATGTAACCACAACTAAAATGTAAGCACAACTAAAATGTAAGCACAACTATAATGTAAGCACAACTATAATGTAACCACAACTAAAATGTAACCACAACTATAATGTAACCACAACTATAATGTAAGCACAACTATAATGTAACCACAACTATAATGTAACCACAACTATAGCGTAACCACAACTATAATGTAACCACAACTATAATGTAACCACAACTATAATGTAACCACAACTATAGTGTAACCACAACTATAATGTAACCACAACTATAATGTAAGCACAACTATAATGTAACCACAACTATAACGTAACCACAACTATAGTGTAACCACAACTATAATGTAACCACAACTATAGTGTAACCACAACTATAATGTAAGCACAACTATAATGTAAGCACAACTATAATGTAACCACAACTATAGTGTAACCACAACTATAGTGTAACCACAACTATAGTGTAACCACAACTATAGTGTAACCACAACAGCAGCAGCAGCAGGGCCGCGCTCTGCTTGAAGCTGCGCCGTGAGCTCCGCAGAACGTGACGGCTGTGGGCCAGGCGCCTCCTCTGTCTCCTCCCACCGCCGCCGCCGCTGCTGATGGGACACACCGCGCGAGGTTCTCACCTTCAGGCTGAGTCGACCTAGAGGAGGCCCAGCGAGCCGCCGCTTCAGAAGCGCTCGCTCGCCACTGACGGTGGCCGTGAGCGGGAATCCAAATCTGCCGCTCGCCACCCACAATGCACTGCGCGCGCCGCCTCCACTCGGCCCCGGCGGAAGTAGCAGCGGGGGAAGGGGCATGGGCTGAGGGGAGGGGCATGGGGTGAGGGGGAGGGGCATGGGGGTGAGGGGGAGGGGCATGGGGGTGAGGGGGAGGGGCATGGGGCGTGAGGGGGAGGGGCATGGGGGTGAGGGGGAGGGGCATGGGGGATGAGGGGCATGGGGGGTGAGGGGGAGGGGCATGGGGGTGAGGGGGAGGGGCATGGGGGGTGAGGGGGGGGCATGGGGGGTGAGGGGAGGGGCATGGGGGGTGGGGCATGGGTTGAGGGGGAGGGCGTGAGGGAGGGGGGGGGGGCATGGGTGAGGGGCATGGGGGGTGAGGGGGAGGGGCATGGGGGGTGAGGGGGAGGGGCAATGGGGGGGAGGGGGAGGGGCATGGGGTGAGGGGAGGGGCATGGGGTGAGGGGAGGGGCATTGGGGGTGAGGGGCATGGGGGTGAGGGAGGGGCATGGGGGGTGAGGGGGGCATGGGGGGTGAGGGAGGGGCATGGGGGGTGAGGGGGAGGGGCATGGGGGGTGAGGGGGAGGGGCATGGGGGTGAGGGGGAGGGGCATGGGGGTGAGGGGCATGGGGGTGAGGGGGAGGGGCATGGGGGTGAGGGGGAGGGGCATGGGGGTGAGGGGGAGGGGCATGGGGGTGAGGGGGAGGGGCATGGGGGTGAGGGGGAGGGGCATGGGGGTGAGGGGGAGGGGCATGGGGGTGAGGGGGAGGGGCATGGGGGTGAGGGGGAGGGGCATGGGGGTGAGGGGGAGGGGCATGGGGGTGAGGGGGAGGGGCATGGGGTGAGGGGGAGGGGCATGGGGGTGAGGGGCATGGGGGTGAGGGGAGGGGCATGGGGGTGAGGGGAGGGGCATGGGGGTGAGGGGAGGGGCATGGGGGTGAGGGGAGGGGCATGGGGGTGAGGGGAGGGGCATGGGGGTGAGGGGGAGGGGCCATGGGGGTGAGGGGGAGGGGCATGGGGGTGAGGGGGAGGGGCATGGGGGATGAGGGGCATGGGGGGTGAGGGGGGGGGGCATGGGGGGTGAGGGGGGGGACATGGAAGGTGGTCGCGAGTGCTTCCCACTGGCAGTTTGGCCGTTAGAGGCGCCGACAGACCCCAGAGCAGGTGAGGAGTGGAACCGAGCTGTGGGTGAGTGGTGGCGGTGGTGGTGTGAGTCTCTCTGTGTGTGTCTGTGTGTGAGTCTCTCTGTATGAGTGTGTGTGAGTCTCTTAGTGTGTGAGGCTCTCTGTGTTAGATCTCTCTGTGAGTGAGTCTGTGTGTGTGTGAGTCTCTCTGTGAGTGAGTCTGTGTGTGTGTGAGATTCTCTGTGTGTGAGTTTCTCTATGTATGTCTGTGTGTGAGTCTCTCTGTGAGTGAATCTGTGTGTGTGAGACTCTCTGTATGAGTCTGTGTGTGTGTCTATCTGTGTGAGTCTGTGTGTGTCTGTGTGAGTCTCTCTGTGTGTGAGTCTCTCTGTGAGTGAGTCTGTGTGTGTGTGTGAGTCTCTCTGTATGAGTCTGTGTGTGAGTCTGTCTGTGTGAGTCTGTGTGTCTGTATGTGAGGCTGTCTGTGTGTGAGTCTCTCTGTGTGTTAGTCTCTCTGTATGAGTCTGTGTGTGTGAGACTCTCTGTGTGAGTCTGTGTGTGAGTCTCTCTGTGCGAGTTTGTGTGTGTCTGTGTGTGAGCCTCTCTGTGTGTGAGTCTCTCTGTGAGTGAGTCTGTGTGTGTGTGAGTCTCTCTGTATCAGACTGTGTATGTGTGAGAGCCTCTCTTTACGAGTCTGTGTTTGTGTGAAACTCTCTGTGTGAGTCTGTGTGTGAGCCTCTCTGTGTGTGAGTCTCTCTGTGCGTGAGTCTGTGTGTGTGTGAGTCTCTCTGTATCAGACTGTGTGTGTGTGAGAGCCTCTCTTTACGAGTCTGTGTTTGTGTGAAACTCTCTGTGTGAGTCTGTGTGTGAGCTTCTCTGTATGATTCTGTGTGTGAGTCTCTCTGTGTGAGTTTGTGTGTGTGTGAGTCTCTCTGTGTGAGCCTCTCTGTGCGTGAGTCTCTCTGTGTGAGTCTGTGTGTGTGTGAGTCTCTCTGTGTGAGCCTCTCTGTGCGTGAGTCTCTCTGTGTGAGTCTGTGTGTGTGTGAGTCTCTCTGTGTGAGTCTGTGTGTGTGTGTGTCTCTCTGTGTGAGTCTGTGTGTGTGTGAGTCTCTCTGTATCAGACTGTGTGTGTGTGTGAGAGCCTCTCTTTATGAGTCTGTGTGTGTGTGTGAGACTCTCTGTGTGAGTCTGTGTGTGAGTCTCTCTGTGTGAGTTTGTGTGTGTGATACTCTCTGTGTGAGTCTGTGTGTGTGAGTCTCTCTGTGTGAGTCTGTGTGTGTGTGAGTCTCTCTGTGTGAGTCTGTGTGTGTGCGACTTTGTGTGAGTCTGTCTGTGTGTGAGTATCTCTGTATGAGTCTGTGTGTGTGTGAGACTCTCTGTGTGAGTCTGTGTGTGAGTCTCTTTGTGTGAGTCTCTCTGTGTGAGTCTGTGTGTGTGACTCTCTCTGTGTGAGAGTCTCTCTGTGTTAGATCTCTCTGTGAGTGAGTGTGTGTGAGTCTCTGTGTGAGTCTGTGTGTGTGAGACTATCTGTGTGAGTCTGTGTGTGTGTGTGGGACTCTCTGTGTGACTCTGTGTGTGTGGAACGGTCGTGTAGCTGACAGCGCGCCACGATATGAACCCGGCGACCCCGAGGTGGATTCCCTTTCAAGGCCAACAGCAGTGACGATTATCTGAACCGGTGCTGGGCCTCCCCTAGGTCGACTCAACCTCGAATGAGTACCTGGTGCGGTGTGTAAAGATCGCCACGAGGGAGACAAAGGCGACCGGGTGTGGTGCTGGCAATCCAACCCCCTCGTGTGCCGTGCCAGCCTTCATTCGTACTGCTGGCTAACAGCACTTTCCCCTACAGCCTGTTAAGTCTCTACGGGGATATTGTCTTTGGAGTCCCATACTGGCAGGGGGAGAAAGTGGTGGTGTTAATGTTGGTGGTATTAGTGGTGGTGGTGCTAGTGATGGTGGTGGTGTTAATAATGGTAGTGTTAGTGGTGGTGTTAGTTGTTTTAGTGATGGTGGTGTTAGTGATTATGGTTGTTAGTAGTGGTGATAGTGGTGGTGTTACTGGTGTTAGTGATGGTGGTGTTGGTGGTATGGTGTTAGTGAAGTGGCCGGAAGCCCTGGTGGTCCCCATCTTTAAGAAGGGAGACCGCACAGACTGTAACAACTACAGGGGCATCTCACTCCTCAGTGTGCCGGGAAAGGTCCTGGCAAGGATTATTCAACATCGCCTTGCTAGGCACGCTGAGGAGAGGCTTGCGGAGCCCCAATGCGGTTGCAGGAAAGGGCGGTCCTGCACAGATGCCACCCAACATTAAATTATATACTGTATTACTATATAGACCTTCGTCTATAATATTATCCTAAGTATTATTCTACCCACCCTACTGTATACCACACTGCTGTATATTCACTATACAATTACGATACTGTATATTACCTTATACATTGTATTAAACATTGCAATTTTATTCTATTTATACAATCTGTTATACACTATACCATTGACCGTATAGTACATAGCAGATTGTATAAATAGTATAAAATAGTATAAATAGTATAAAATAGTATAAAATTGTAATGTTTAATACAATGTTTAATACAATGTATAAGATAATATACAGTATCGTAATTGTATAGTGAATATACAGCAGTGTGGTATATAGTAGGGTGGGTAGAATAATACTTAGGGTAATATTATAGACGAAAGTATAGAGTGGTGTATAGTAATACAGTATATAATTTAATGTTGGGTTTGTCTATGGTAGTATATAGTACGGGGTAGACCCGTGTGATGCAACAGAAAAAAGTTTAGCTGGAAGCATATTATATTTTTTGTGACATAGAATTGTAATGTATTACTTACTGTTAGTAGCTCAGCTTATTGGAAAGTATATTTAGTATGCTGATTATACTATGTAGTTCATACTTTAGTTTTTACGTGGTTGTTTAGTAACTGCAGCTACATACTATTAACATTCCTTCCCTTTGTTAATGCTACCCCCATCCCCTCCCTTTGATGCTGCTAATCCTGCATAATGCACGGGCATAATATGACTTTGAAACCCCCACCTCCTAAGCATTTCACAAGTAGTGCTAATCCCATATCTGAATTTCCCATAAATATGCTAAATTCCTCTTGATATGCAAATTCCCCCTCCAACCCAGCTTAAATATACGCTCCAAGCCTGGTGGTGTTTCATTCAGACGCTGTCTTCCCGGCAGACCTGTTCTTCACCTAAGGACGGCTGCTTGCGTTGTGGCCGAAACGTCGTGAGAATTTTATTGTTTTATTTTTATTATTTCATTATTTCCCTTCTACGTGACTTTACCAAAAGAACCAAGAAGATTAATCCCTGCAGTCACGAAAGCTTTAAATCGAGGTGTTGGTGGTGTTAGTGGTGTTGGTGGTGTTAGTGATGGTGTTAGTAGTGGTGTTAGTGGTGGTGGTATTATTGGTGGTGGTGTTAGTGGTGCTGTTAGTGGTGTTAGTGATGGTGTTAGTGGTGGTCTTAGTAGTAGTGTTAGTGGTAGTGAGGGGTAGTGTTGCGGTTAGCACGCTGCACTACGAACCTGGCGACCCGGGTTCGATTCCCGCTCACAGCCTACATCGACTTAGCCTCAAATTAGTACCTGGTGTGAAGTGTAAACATAGCCACTGGGGAAACAAAGGCGGCCGGGCGTGGTGTTGGCCACCCACCCTTTCGTGTGCCGTGCCGGCCTTCATAGGGGCTCGTGAACAGCATTTGCTCCAACAGTCTGTTAAGGCTATAAGGGGGACTCCTGACTCGGGTGCCCTCCTGTGTGGAGTTTATATGTTCTCCCCCTATTCTGGATCAGTTCACTCTTACATTACATTAAGTCTTCATTTCACCTGGTAGATGCATTCCTGAAAAGTGCCG